CATACACCATAGCAAAAACCGCAGCTTTTCAAACACCTTGCAATTATTTAGAAGTCTCCTTCATTAGCACCAGTTTTGCTGTGATTTTCTAAAGGATAATTGGTCATCTAGAATTGTGAATATGCTTATAATCCTCACACAATTGAAGAAATGTTGTAAATAAGCTCATTTTACTGGATTATTTAAAGAAATCAATAGATGAAAGAAATCCTTGTTCCTATTCTTACCTAAAGCACAGCAGGTACCTCAATATCAACAGTGTATTTAGCTAGAAAATTACTTAGTATTTTCATCCTTTGAAAAGATGTAATTTATTCTGAAGCTTCTCTGCAAGTGTTTGGCTCTTAATATCCATTCAGTAGTAATAGCAACATTAACTCCTTCGCTGCAGAAAATTGCACTTGTACGCCTCTTGCTGTATCGCATAAATTGAGCTCTGACTGCATATAGAGGGAGATGAATTTATAAGGTTGCTTATTTCCAACCTCAAAAAATAACAGTTTGCACAGTTTACTTGCTAGAGTGAAAATTCAAAGATAATTTAGGCCAGAGTAGCTGAACTGGAAGCATAGTTGACTTAGATCAGCGTTTCCTAATTAGTGTTCCTCTAAACCCTGGGGTTCCGTGAGAACAAAATTGGGGTTTCGCCGAGATCTGACCATCGGGTGGCCCATGCACTTAGGGCCACCGATGGCAATTATCGCTGAACAGGGGCCCGGTCTGGTGCCGTGACTCTTTAAGAGCCTGACCGGGCCCCTGTACATTTGGCGGACTGGGAGGAAGTGACAGCACTTTCTCCCAGCTTCATTAGAGAAACAGATGCGCGGGAAAAATGCAGTGAGTAATGAGCAGGATGGAGACAGCAGCACAGCATGGAGGCAGAGGAGAGGCTGGGAGTAAGCTGCTGCTGCATGCTCACTCCCATCAGCCTCAGACAGGACCAGACCTCCAAGCAAGCCACCCTCCTGGACACCAAGGTAAGCTAACAGGTGGGTGGCTGCAAATACATGTATGTGTTTATGTATGTCAGATTGTGTGTGTATGTGCCAGTGTGTGTGTCTGCCGTGTTTGCCAGAGTGTGTATCTATGTCTGTGTGTGTGTGTATCTGTGTGTCAGTGTGTATGTGCCAGTGTGTGTGTGTGTATCTGCGTGTCTGTGTGTATGTGCCAGTGTGTGTGTGTGTGTATATGTGTGTCAGTGTGTATGTGTATCTGTGTGTCAATGTGTATGTGTGCATTTGCCAGTGTGTGTGTGTGTGTGTGTGTCTTTGTCTGTGTGTATCTGAGTGTGTATGTGCCAGTGTGTATGTGCCAGTGTGTGTATATGTGTATCAGAGTGTGCATCTGAGTGTGTGTGTGTGTGTATGTGCCTGTGTTTGTATCTGTATATCTGTTTGTCATTGTGTATCTGAGTCAGTGTGTGTATATGTGTGTGTGTCTGTGCATCAGTGTGTGTGCCAGTGTATGCATCTGTGTATCAGTATGTGTGTGCCAATGTGCCAGTGTATGTATCTGTGTCAGTGTGTATCTGTGTCAGTGTGTGTGTGTGTGTGCCAGTGTGTATCTGTGTGTATTTCTGTGTCAGTGTGTATCTGAGTGTGCGTATGTGCCAGTGTGTGTATCTATGTATCAGTATGTACATCTGAGTGTGTGTGTGCTAGTGTTTGTATTTGTGTATCAGTGTGTGTATCAGAAGGTGTGTGTATGTGCCAGTGTTTGTGTGTATGAGAGTATTTGTGTACTTGCCAGTGTTTGAGTGTGTGTATGTGCCAGTATTTGTATCTGTTTCAGTATGTGTATCTGTGTGTCAGTGTTTGAATATGTGTGTCAAGGTGTGTGTGTGTGAGTGTGTGTATGTGCCATTGTTTGTATCTGTTTCAGTATGTGTATCTGTGTGTCAGTGTTTGAATATGTGTGTCAAGGTGTGTGTGTGTGTGAGTGTGTGTATGTGCCAGTGTTTGTAACTGCTTCAGTATGTGTATATGTGTGTCAGTGTATGAATATGTGTGTCAAGGTGTGTGTGTGCATGTGTCAAGGTGTGTATCTTTGTGTGTATGTGTCAGTTTGTATATGAATGTGTATGTGTGTATGTGTCAAAGTGTCTATATGTATATGTATGTAGCAGTGTATGTGCATACATCACAGCAATCAAACACTAACACAACATGCAATCACACCCCATGCAAACATAAACATTACACACAAAACACCCTTAATTCAAACACCAATACTACTCACAAATGTACATCCATATTTAAAAGCCAACATTACATGCAAACACATCTCTGTATTAAGAATTCAAAATTACATACAAACACCAACTTTACACAAAGAGGCACACCTATTCCCAAGTACTACAATCTGTTTACTATCTGTAGAAATTAGCGTATGTATTGCAAAAAAACGAATTTGCTATAAAAGACACTCTGCTAATTAATTAAAAGGTTTCCGCTATGGCGCAATTATTTGGGGGGGGTTCCACGATGTTTGTACACTATGTCAAAGGGTACCACGTAAAAAACATTTTTTGGGAAACCCTGACTTAGATCATTTGCACCACAATAGCTTTAGCTTAATGAAGCAGTTATGGTCATGCCCCTTCAATCTCACTGCTCAATTATCTGCTATTTAGCAGTTAAATCACATTGTTTGTGACACAGTCTGGTGGGGGGCGGAGCCTGACCACGCAAATGCATGGCAGCATAATCCCCGCCAAGCTCCGCCAAGACCTAACCTGATCCACAGCCATCAACAGCACCTGAGCCCCCCAAAACCACCCTACCACCCCTACACCACCACCCATACCGACCCTCAGCATGGGAGGGGGTAGAAAATTCAGTAACTTCGCGGTGGCTCCGATCTTAAGAGCCAGGCCGGAGAAGGCCCAAGCACCCCATCAGAATCCGACTCAGAACTGAGCAGCACGGCGCCCTTAGACCGTATAGAGGCCCCTCTCACCCGCAAAGTCATGAGAGTCTTCCTGGCTGACTTCAAAAAGTCAGTGGTGGAGGAACTGGACAAAAGGATGTGCCCAATATTACAAGGCATGGCAGACCCCACGGCCCAGACCCAGGCCACAGAGACCAAAATAAAGGGAGTAATGGAGTCTGTACAGACTCATGAGGCTGACCTACAAGACCTCCGAGAATAACTGCGAGCCCTCGAAGACTCAAATGAGGACTCAAATAACCGAACACGCCGGAACAACATAAGGATCAGGGACCTGCCTGAGATGGTGTCTGCAGAGCTTCTTCCTGAAACACTTCCTGCCATGTTCCAGAGCCTCCTGCCAGACGCCACTGAGACTGAGACTTGCTGATGGACTGAGCACATCGAGCCTTACGAGCCCCCAGCACAAACACCGTCACTCCAAGCAATGTAATCGTGATAATGCACTTTTACCATATAAAGGACAACATCATGATAGTCGCTTGGGACACCCCAGTGGAAGCTGGTGGAATACCACTCCAACTATTCCAAGGTTTGGCGCCAAACTTACCCAACATCTGTACCAACATGGCCTCCGCTACGCATCACACACCCAGCCGAAATCCCCGACCATCTGGATAGACTGGGCCTACCGCAACTGCACCCACCAGCACAACACCACCCTGGACCGACACAGCAGTGGACCCTGAGTCAGCAACACGTGACCAGATGACTTTGCAAGATCCTGACAAAACAAACTCCACAAGACAACACCAAGGACTTCTACCACTGACCCACGGCTGGCAAGCATTGAGGTTAACACAGGGCTAGCCCTGGCACCCACCCTAACCAATACTATAATAATGTACTTTTACACACACCACTCAACCTTACGCTGCAGGATGCAGGATTACCTGTGATTCCTCATCACTACTTTTTCTTTTCCCTTCACACACATTACTATCAGGGCACTACGTATACAGCCGCAGCATACGCAGACACCTGTTACTTAAAGTTATCAAAATGTTACACATGTTATATGAATTAACTCTGAGAAAAGCATGATGTATGTAGCTTGACTTGTTGTTCAAAGATTTTAGCTCTATACGCAATGCTAAGATATAATGATGTATGTAAGGCCAACCACCCATCACACACACACTACTACCCAGGCACCACGTATACAGACGCAGGACACGAAGACACCGGTTACTAAAAGTTAAATTATACGTGTGACGAGAGCAACCTCACCACATTGCATTGGAGAAGCCTGCTTGCTCGTCTGTTACCTTTGGATTATGGCCCCATGTTAAAGACCTCTTTTCCTCTGCAGAAAAGACTTATTCCTGCTTTTCTGCCCGGTGTTCGGTAGATTCACGAATGACTGGACCACCTGGGAGCTTTTGTGTGCCAGCAATTAGCCTCCCAGAAGCTGCGGTTAACCGCAGCTTAATTGACGAATACTGGGTGGCCGCCATTCGTATCACGAACATGAAGTCGCGGCCATTTTAAACACGCGAACGCACAGCGGTGTTCGACGCCTAACTCATGGAACTAAAAACGGACACAGTTTGGCGCGAACACCGCTAAAGCCGCCGACCTCCCTTCTTGTTTGGTGGAAGTACACGAACGGCCCGGTATTCGGTAGTCGTGCCTGACTAGACTATACCCCAGATAGGAATCCCATGGAGCTCATTCGTATGAGAACTGACTTTGTAAAGACTTTGGCTCCATGGCGATTGAACTGTATTCGTGTGGTCTGAGCGCCATTCGCTTAATAATGTGACTTGAGCTATCTGGGGATATGTTAAATGTATAGTTTTATTGTAACTTGTGTCACATAGTATATTTTAATAGTAATTCCTGTATTGGTATCCCCACGTGCATAATGGCGATTTGCCTTTGCCTTTTTCCTGGGAGATAATTTAATTACTTCTCAATTATCTCCAGGGCAGAGGGGAGGAAGCCAGGATGTATTGTGGGAATACGACCATTACAATACGACTTAATTCTGAAAAGTGCATGACGTACACAGTTTGACATATTTTTCAAAGGTATTTTTCCTGACACTTATGGACTCTATACCATCTCTACACACCACGCTCACACTAATAGCAGAACACGCTAACCTATCAGGCTACATGATCAACCTTGCGAAATCAACTCTCATGCCACTAGCGATGGGACCGAGCCAAATCCGCCTGATCCGTAACCTCTCCGCTTCCAAACAACTACAACCTCCATCAACTATCCCCCTGACTCCAGGACCTATACGACCACAACTACAAACCATTGTTTACAACAGCCCTAACAGACCTACAATGATGGGATGCACTGGGAGTCTTGTGGCCGGACAGAGTTGCCACTATAAAGATGAACCTGTTTCCTAGATGTCTATACCTTTCCCAGACCCTACCCATCTCAATCCTGAACGCGGACTTCAAAAACCTACAAGTGGCCATCGATAAAGTTTTATGGCGATCAAAAAAAAAACACAGATCCGCAGAACGACAATGTACGTCCCCAAACCACAAGGCTGACTTGGGCTGCCAAACTTTCAGCACTACTACCATGTGGCCCAAACAATGGCATTCACCAGCGGATGCCAAACGATGGGTCAATCTCGAACATGACATTATGGGCACTACCTACAACTACGCGACCTAGCACAACAGCCCATGATCAAGCAGGCAGGCACATCACAACCGACGGCATTTGAGAAGCAATGCTTTGACACTCCCCTACACCCCAGACAGGTCTCTACTTCCCCCTCACGACACACATTTCCCAAATAAACCTTACATATATAACAACATGGGAACAAGGCCTTGGACCGCCAGAAGAACCGAGCGACTGGGCTGAAATTTGGGAAGCAATTCGCACACTGACGGTATGTGTTACCCACAAGGAACAGGCCTACAAAACACTATACCACTGGTACCTGACACCATACAGACTCCACAAAATGGGGAAATTACCCATTGGACAATGCTGGAAACAATGCGGGGAAACAGGCTCATATCTCCATTGCTGGTGGCACTGCCCCAAGCTTAAACCACTATGGACAGAAGTACACCAACTCATTGAAACCGTCATTGAAAAACGCATCACTGCAGACCCGTGGACCATGCTGCTCACTAAACAATTGGACTCTCTCACCAGGAGGGTAAACAAGCTCACCTCCAGAATAACACTAGCAGCGCGACGGGCGATAGCAGAACTATGGGCGGATCAATGCATCCCCAAACTTACCACTATCATATGCAAACTAAAGGAAACAAGGGACCTCAACAAACTCACCGCACAAATAAACGACTCTTACAAAGCCTTCCACAGAACCTGGGACCTCTGGGACACAAACTCCCCAGGACTGCAACTGGGAACGACACCCATCTTGAACTACACTACCTACCACCCTGCTCAGTCTAATGACGGATCCGAAAACCCGCTCGATCGAGACCAACAACTAAAGACAACCGAAACCCAGCCACCACCAAGGACATACAAATACCCGACACAAAATAAGGCAAGCAAACCAACGGACACGCAACCAAACAAAAACAGATACGTCATGACCTCGCCCCTGACACCCTCCGTGAGACTTCTAAACCAAAGGTTCAAGAAGAAATCTGTGAGTTAACAACTAGGTACCCATGTGTAGAATAAATACTCATATGAAATTATTCAAAACACCTAACATAAGTCTTGGATCCATCTAGTAGTATAGCTCCAATGGTACTTCAGTTAGGTTTTAACAACATATGAACCCACAGCCTAATGTAACTTCATATGATAAAAATAGCAGTTTATTGCAGTCACATTCACTAGACATTAAAAATGTCTAAAATAAACTAGTAATAGAAAACTGAGAATTATCGTCAAACATTAAAGGATTTCTCCAACCATTTTTTGTACCATATTGAATAATGCCGTTTTGGTATTATTCTATCTGTTTCCCCCTAAGTAAATGCTCAATGAGTTTCTTAGGAGAAGATTTACTTACCTCTGTCCAACACCAGATGAAGTTCTGTGTAACATGATGGAAGCCATACCGCAGTCCAACCAAAGGCTTCTCGTAAAGAAGCCTTTGATTGGAGAATTTAAGGGGCTCAGAGCGCAAGATAGAGAGGGTGGGAAAGGAGCAGGAAGGAGGGCAAGCAATTACAAAATGTATGGATATGATAACAGCAGCGAGAGGGTTTCCCTCAGTGTGGGGACATGAAGGGAGAAAACAGAAGAGTTTCCCGCTTGCAGGCTCTGCAGAAGCTGACCACAGATGTAAATTGACATTGCCAGCTTGGAACAGAGGTCTGGTACAGCAAGAAAGGCACTTTTCAGATTGCATTGACAGTGTATTTGTATAAACTGTGCCTTGGGGTGCCTCCCCTGGTGAAGGCTGGGGGGCTAACACCTTATTTCAATTCCTCCTACAAATCTCATCCAATGCATAACATATAAATTACAAGCAATAACACAATTGAGTGTAAAGCAGCCTAATATCTCCCAGTCCTTTAAATAGGGCTATTCCCCTTCAGTCATTGGTGGTTCGTTGGTCATGGGTTCCATAATCCTTCTTGAAAGGATGGTGTTTTCAATTAATGAAATAAAGAAAATATAATTCCAAAAAGCTGCCTTACTAGAAGGTAGCCAATAGGAAAGGAACCCAGTCCAATCTCAAAAGTAAGTATAAATAGTCGACCTTAGATGAGTTAAAATTAAAAGCTAATGAATTACGACAAATGTTTAAAACTAAGGGATACCCGAATAGGGTCTTGAAGAGGGCTTTTCTGAGGGCAATCCAGACAGAACGTGAAACTCTAATCACTGATGATATTTGTAAGGTTGAAGAAAGTAAAATACGCTGCATTGGTACATATGATGCAGGATGGGACACTATGCAAAATGTTTTTCAAAAATTCTGGCCTATTTTACAATCTGATAGACATCTTAAGGAAATATTGCCACCTTTCCCTTCGATTACAGCATGGAGGAGTAAGAATCTGAGAGATCTGCTAGCACCTAGCCATCTCTCGACTACGCCTTCATCTGGATATTTTCAAAAATATCTACCAATAGGCACATTTCAATGCGTGAAAGTAAGAATTGCGGAACACATCAGGAACATCAGAAATGGACTGGAGACACATAGTGTTCCGCTCCATTTTAAAGAAGTGCACGATCAAAATCCAAGCAATTTATTCTTTTGTGCTATTAAAGAGGTCAAGAGGGACTGGAGGGGAGGAGATTATATTCGAAAATTAGGAAAAGAAGAAATGAAGTGTATCTTCGAATTCAATTCCCTAGCCCCGTATGGTCTTAATACTGATTTTGAGATATGTCATTTTTAGCGATACTTTTAATTAAATATTTTTTTTTATTTTTTTTTATGAGTGATTGTATTTTATATACTTTTTCATTATACCTATATGCTATAACATAGAGGTTTACATTTAAGAATTCTGCCATATTTTAGCTGAAATATTGTCCTTTTAGAGAGATGAGGAGTCTGATGTACATTTAGACATTACCTCTATAACCAGTGGTGTGTATGTAAATATATTCCTCCTTTTTTATGCATACATATTTTTCTCTATATTTATATATATATATATTTTGTAATTTGTACTAGCACTTCTTCTTCTTATATTATAAATAGAAATTACATTCCTTTTTTATTGTTTTATACATTGAGTTCTGTGTACATCATATGCTTTTACATAAGAATTAGCCATAAAACCAACTAAAGAATTAAACAACAAACAACATGTGAAAAATGTTCTAAACAAAAGACTTTGGGGGAATCCTGTATTGCGTTCCAATTGTGGAACGCAAAAGCCTGGATGAAAAGAGATCGGCACTTCATAAGAAAGCTACACATGGCGGCTGTGCGTTCCAAGGGTGGAACGCAAGGACCGGAAACCGGAAGTCCGGCGAACCGGAAATGAAGAGAGAGAGGAAAAAAAGCGGCAGTAAATGGCTTTTAAAAATGAAGAGTCATCTATGAAGATTTACAGCAACTGAGGAAGCCCCATGAAGGGGCGAAACGCGTTTTGCTACTAAGACTATTCAACAGAGCTTGTAAGGTCTTTTAATATTATTCTTTTTATTTTGTTTATATTAATAAATGTAATTTTATTATATTTTGCCTGTGAACCTGTGATTACCCTGCATAAGGAACCTGAAGCACAGAGGAGGGAGTGGGACCCTTTACATCCCATAAAGTGAACAACTTGAGCCCAATCTTTAGTGGCTCCACCTTTGTGAGTGTGCATTTATAAAGACTTGATTGGACTTACAAAAATAAGAGTACTAGCAATATTGCACTATCTTTTTGCTATTTTACTTTCTTTAGAGCATACCATAAGAAATGTACCTATGCAAAGGACTACTAAGAAAGTGCATGTAAGATACTCCGCCTTATATTTTGTGGTGTTTGTATCTCTTTTTTGGTGAAGGTTAAGGGAACCTCACCAGGGTGTTAGAGTCTCTTACACAGTTGCACGTAGCACACATTGGGTCACTGTTATTTATCTTTGTATTACATTTCAATGCGGCCATTGTAGTGCCTGCCCATTTATTAATAGACACTCCAAGATGTTTTCCGACAGTAGGGACATGGAGAAATTCAAATCCCACTCCTTTTCTAATTGTCATACAACTGGAGTAATTTACCTATTGACCTGCTCTTGTGGTTTAAAATATGTGGGCAAGACTTTTCGTCATTTTAGACTCAGGATACGTGAGCATGTGAATTCTGTCAGGAGACATTTGGAGACACCTGTCTCTAGACACTTACATCTACATCATAATCACTCCTCAGCAGGTATCCGTTTTATGGGTCTGGAACACATACCACAACCACCGCGAAAAGGAAATTGGGATTTGAGATTAAGACAAAGAGAGGCTTTTTGGATTTATCGACTCAAAACTCTGTCTCCACTTGGGCTGAATGAAGGTTTTTCTTACTCCCCATTTATTCAATAGAAAGGCAATAGTTTTAAGGTATCTCTTGTTAAGTTTGTACATATGTATATATATATATATATTCTTTATTAGTTTTTATCTATTTTTCGCTATCTCTCTTTTATACCCAATTATATCAATTTTTACCCTCATACTATTCAAGGTGTCTTATATTAAGTGCCATAGACTATGAATGAACATGTGCTGTTAAAATAAAGCGCTCACACATAGATACATTGGCAACATCACAATATATTTTAGTGGCAACATAGTATCCTGATTAGACATTGCCATTTATTTGCTCCTTTGATATATATGCTATTTACTTAGTCATTTAAACCTAGCAATCCATTTCTATTTTTTGGAACACTAAGGGGTTTTT